TTAATAATTAATTCAGTAATAAGCAAATTGGCTTAAAGGCACATTAATAGGGATAGTTACTTTACTATATAATAATATTGTGCCCATGTGTAATTCTTTCGAAATGTCCGTCGGGCTTTATAATCTAATTGATATCGATTGTTGAAAAACATTGGAATTTAAGTAAAACTCTCTAAAATTATCAATTTTTCTACTAGACTCAGAGTATTACTTCACCGATTCATTGTTAGTTACAGCGAGATTCTGCAAAATAAAGTAAAATTTTAGACAAAATAGGTTCTAATTCTTCACTTTCTTTCTCATTCAACTTCAACATATTGAGAGGGTTCTTCTCCTCTTCAACGAAAATAAATTCTACCGAAGAAAGATCATGTTTTTTCTTTCAAAAAACATCGATGGATCTTCTCCGACCTCGCGAATAAAGTCCACGAAAACTAGTAGTACATGATATATATAGAAGTTCCAAATCATTAGAACCGAACAAATTCATAATGTTTCGTTTGTTGCACTTAAAAGTACAATACAGTCTTTTTTGCATCTCTTGCATACTATTCACACCAGTATCGAATTTTAATGCTATTAAAAGCATAGGTATAATTTAGTCACGTGAAAACAAAAATTAATTTTGTAACTTTTTATGGAAAAAACAGAAAGAGATAAATAAGTCAGAGTTTATTTCTTTGTAAAAATTATACTTTTTTCTATCTTTGTTATTTAAATCTTATTAAAAAATAATTAAAAATAATATGCCACCAATAAATATTTTTATAAACATTGTTTTTAAAAAACATGATTTGCGATAACTACTGCCGCTTTTATAAAACTCATTTGAAAGCAAAAATAATACATAAAATTGAAACATAAATTCAATATCTGACGTAGCTGTTTTTCGAAAAATTATGTTTGAACAAAATGGTAAGTATTCAAAGTTAAATATCAATTTTTACATTCATCCACTCCAGGACCATGAAATAAATTTTCTGTAAAAGTAGATGCTTTTAGGAAGTCACTTTATACTTGTCTCCAATAAAGGCTTTCTTTTTTTCGTGTTTAGCGTGCATATGTCCACCTTGTACTTTCGTCTTCGGCAGTGATATACATATGCGTATGCATACATGTACTTACTGTTGAATTATTCCGTTTTCCCTAGAAAACACAATAAAAATCTAAGGATTAAATGAATAATTCCGGAATGCATTCCGACTTGTTCCATGATAGGTGCTCAGTGCTCGGAATTATAGTTACACATTTCGAGCCGATTCCTGAGGTGTTACTGTCCATCCACTATATCACTTAATATAGCCGAGCCGCCGATCGCTTACGTAAAAAAACCTTAAATACAATGAAAATCACAGACAAGGAATAAGGAATAAGAGATTTTAACCTGTCAGAAAGCATCCATTCTGATATACAGGGTTTCTGATAGATTGAAATTTGTTATTACCTGTTCCTATTGCCTGTGCTTTTCATTGTGATTTCAGGTTGACGCTGTACGCCAGAAGTCGCAACACAAAAAATATACTGGAAGGATATCTTCTGGCAAATATCATTAAAATATTTTCCTTCCTACGTGATTTTTATTTTAATAATTAAATTTTTTATTATTAACATATTATGTGTATATTCTGCAATAATATAATCAGCAATAATATAATAAGCAATTAGGATATATACAAATATATACGACAATTATAATAGACAATAGCTTTCCACATCACCTCTGAGGTACTATTGTTGATGCGTTTTTTTTTAAGTGGTTTCCCCAGTAGGCCTACTCCACAAAAAATAACGAAGAAGCTGATCAAATATATAATTCAACAGGAAAACAATATTCTCTAATATAAAATATTTATAAAAATGTATGAAAGTGTTACGTAATATGCAACGTATTAAAATAATGTATTTAATATACTCAAATTCTATGACTTTAAACAATTTTAATCTTCTAAATAAATATTTTAAATGGCCATAAGCTTCGAATGACTGTAGTACTACATAATTTTTTATTAAAGCAATTTTCTTCAGGCGTTAAATGTCCATTATTCGTAAAAAGGACTATGATAAAAGTTTATAAAAAATAAACCGAATCTCTTAAAAGATATGTATTTAGAGGAAGCATTTGTTCTCGGTTTTCAATTAATTTTTTATATATTGAGGAATTTTGTCACATACTAGCGTCATGTGTTGATCTTGGTTATCAACAATATATATCAATAAATTCTCTTTTGGCGTTACAGATACCTTGTAACAAAACGGAGCAAAAACCTTTCCTGTGGTAATAAGAATTATCGTTTGTAGATTCAAGTATTGGGATATATGCGATCCATCTACACATTCAAAGACATTAGGAAAACTTTCTTGTCCTCTTAACTGATAAAATTGTTCGACATTCATGAGTGCAGCTCTTCCTTTAGGCCAAAATATATAATTTTGTATCTTCTTAGTTAATAATTTACAAGTTCGTATAAATATGGTATGAGCATTTCCTTTATTTATTGTAGATCAAAACGGTCCGCAGTTGATCGAATCGATTTTTGACTTGCAACAATCCATATAGTTAATAAAATTGCTTTTTTAATTGATGTTGGTGAATATCCTATTCTTGTTATCTAAACATTGAATAAGATCCTGAATATATAAAATCAGTGTTAGACATAATAAGCATTTCATGTATTATATACATAATATTACATTATATATATATATATATACATATATATATATATATACATACACAGATTTGGCCAAAAATATTAGGCACATATATTTTTCATCTGAAATTCCATTCTTTATATTCATCTGTAGTCTTACCTGTTGATTATTGGGTTGATTACACACAAGTTAAAGAATTTTTGAAACAAAATAATTTACTATAAATGCCATATTACCATAAATTACCATAAATTAATTTTTGAACTAAAACTTTAAATATTAATAAGATGCCTCGTGTTTTTAATCGAAGTTGTATACTTTTACATATTATTTACATAATACTTTTTGCAATTATAATCATTATATACTTAGTGCATATCTCAATTAAAATTCTAAATATTAGAAAGTATGCTTTAAAGTCCATGTCCAAATATAATGGCACTGTTTTTGAGAAAAAATTTTAAATTTTTATGTGCTTAACACATTTACGTTTGATTAATAATAAATCCAATATATCACTATTGCTGATCATTAAAGACGAAGAAGAGGAATCAGACGAAGATTTATTTTTAAGTATTTTTTAAATTAAAGTATATTATAATATTCCCATATAATATTTCCATATTGTAACACCCAGAATAACATTAACAAATAATCATAATATTTTTGGTTAAGAAATATACTCCCACCATGTTCAATCAGAAATTTCATCAATCCATCGACTAAATTAGTCTGTTATGATTCAGCCTGATTTCAGCGCTGTAAATAAAAATATGTTGATGTATTTAATCGATGAATAAAAGAATTCTTTAATGCATTTGCAATTGATCAATCAATGAATTAAAAACTTAGCCATTATTAGGACCTATACAACATAAATTAGTAAAGCACAACATACGTGAGCATTTAAGTTCAGAATGCCTGTTCATTACATTATTGTAAGTGATAAGATCTTTTAATTTTCATAATGCTTGTGCGTGTGCGGGCGCGCGCGCGCGTGTGTGTGTAAAGACAAATTTCAACTAAACTAACTTGCATATGTCATACTCAGGTAAAGGAACGTATCGGATATGATCGGTGGCATGTAAAGCCGCGACTCATTGCTTGGGAAAGAGAATTATTGTCATACATCCTAAATAGGATAATAAATAGGATAGGCTGAAGACACGCACGGAGTAAAAAGAAAAGACCAAACTCCCGAAAAAATGGTTCAAAATTCGAGGCCTGTTCTTTTTGGCTGAACTTTTGCACCTGCTCATCTTTCTTCCTTTTCTCTTTAGCAGGAAAGAAGAAGAAAGATAAACTAGTGCAAAATTCAGCCAAAAAGAACAGACCTAAGGTGTCGAAAAAGCGCTATAAGGAAAAACAAATTCGTGCGCTTCTGTTGGAGAAAATTGTCAACAAGAGGATAAATATTTTTCCTCTTATTTTCCTGTAATGCTGTAAATTTGTGTATTTTCATGTGTAGAATATATTCCGAAAGAAAAGTTGTCGTCCTGTTTAAGTCCTGTTTTTATTCTTTTGAATTTCAAAGTTTTTTGGTGTCGGGAAGTTAAAAAACAATAATTTATGACTATGTATAAATGTTATTTTTCAATAAATATTGATGCTTTTACTATTTCATCAAATAAAATGAAATTTTATACAAATTGGAATTTCTGTATTAAAAATAAAACGTGCACACCAAAAAATATTTAATAATTTAACATAGGAATAAATAAACTTAATTACGGTTACTGTCTATTATAAATCGCCCCTTAGAGAAGAGATGTTGATAACGAGCACTACGATTCAGCATCCAATTCAATCGTTGAGCGGATAAATGGAAGATAAATGGAATTTTTACTTGAAAATTTATTTGATGGAAAACAATGTGCAATGATATATTTCCTAACTACTGAACGAATAGGCTGGATGAAAGCAATTACTGGTATCTCTTACCAACATTTATTATCCAAAGACGCGTGTAATTGCTACAACGCCCGTTATCATTTAAGCTAAAATAATAAACAATGTACAGCAAAAATTCGATTGGAAGAATAACTAAATTTTATTAAATATTATTTAACAATTCTAATACCAATTAGACCGAAAATAAATTAAGAGAAATCATGCTATTTTTTATCCAAGTAGATCTTAGCTCTTAAATAATTTCCGCGTCAATTTGTATACATATATGTTCGTGCTTCGCGCCTATTGGAATGGGTGGGAGCGCTCAGTCGGTTGTGTATCCGC